AAAAAAGGTAAAGGGACCCCTGACCATTAGGTCCAGTCGTGGCCAACTCTGGGGTTGCGGCGCTCCTCTCACTTTACTGGCCAAGGGAGCCGGCGTACAGCTTCCGGGTCATGTGGCCAGCATGACTAAGCGGCTTCTGGCAAACCAGAGCAGCGCATGGAAACACCATTTACCTTCCTGCTGGAGCGGTACCTATTTATCTACTTGCACTTTGACATGCCTTTGAACTGCTAGGTTGGCAGGAGCAGGGACCGAGCAACAGGTGCTCACCCCGTTGCGGGGATTCGAACCGCTGACCTTCTGATCGGCAAGTCCTAGGCTCTGTGGTTTAACCCACAGCGCCACCTGCATCCCAAAAATACATTAACTTATACCTAAATGAAAATGCTGAGATCATAAAAATAACCTTCACCTTCAGCAAACCGTGTAAAAACATTCTGCTTTCTAAGGTTGCGCCACACCAAAGACATGTTGCGCCACACCAAAGACATGTTTGAAGGCCATTCCGTCCACTTTAGAGTGGTTTTAATGATTTCCCCCCTTCTTCTTGGATACTCATAGCAAAGTACAAAATACATACATAACACTTCAGAGACAAAGCTTAAAATTAGGGTAGAGATGTATGTCATATTTCACAAACATTTTCAGCTCAAAGAGAGGGCTTTTCAAGAAGCAAAAGATTTTACAAGAGCCCTGGTCCACAACTCACTCTTCTGCTCTTGATTTCAGAGTAAGCGAAAGAAGCCTTTACTGGTTAGTTTTCTGCTGACGTTGCATAGCCAAATCTGATTGGCAGCATATTATGGACTTGTCATAAAGCCATTTCAGAGTGAGAGCATTGTTTTTTGGATGTTTTAAATAGGGGGCCTGAATCTTCTGCAGCCGTCTCACTCAAATGCCGCAGATTAAGTTCAAAGAACATATACTTTTTCATTCTGACTGTATATTTCCATTATAAAGAAAACCGAAAGGTTCTTTGCACAGAATTAGGACTCATCTAGACTTTCTTTTGTCCAAGCGCTTTTGTTGCTGTTGCTGTTGTGTGTTGAGACCCTTAAACCTCTTTCATAAATAAATTCAGACAAGACTCAAATTTTGGTTTGGTTTTTGGCAGAATTTAGGCCACAACTTTATTGATTACAGCAAGTGACTGGTTGCATAGGCTCTGGTTCAACTAGCTCCCTGCACCCTTGCAGGTAGCATTGACCCAGGGCACCAGCATAGGTCAGCCAAGGGTGAACACCTGGATAAGTGGAAAGCCGGGAACGGGCTAACTCCACCACCCAAATATCCCCCTGGACTCAGGCACGGGCACAACCCCCTCACAGGGGTTGACCAAACCATCGAGTCCCTGGATTCCTTTACAGGAATACCCTTCACATAGGGATGGCAAGAGTGTTTTCACATCACTACCACTTGAACCAGTGCCTATCCACAACCTTACAAGTTGTGATGATTTGCTACGTGGCAGGCGAAACCCAAATGGCAACAGCCAATCAGCCAAGTGGGGAAAATTCCTGCCGCGCCCCTGTCCCAACAACAGACGACACATGACGGACAGCATAGCAAGGTCAAGCGCAAAGCCCTAAAAGTAGGGAGAGGTGGACGGGTGTTCTGATGCACTGGCCCAAAGAGGAAGCTCAGGGTCATGTGCATAGGTATATATATAGGTCCCTTGATCCGTTTAGCCTGTGTCCCATTGGCCTAATCGAACCCTGCATCAAGGGACCTACCAATCGGGTGTTCTGGCTATCCAAACGTACACACCCACAACACAAGGTTAGGTTGCCAGGTTCCACCGCAACACGTGCCCTCTTTAAGGGAGGACCCAATTTGTTGCCCTGGCATTTTCCTTGTAAAAATCCACGGTTTACCACTGAACTGGAGTGAGTGGCAATCCACAGAAATTAAAAAATACTGTTTGTTGCAATTCAAAGTTAAAGAGTGGGTTTTCACAGGGAAAGCACAGGAGCAAAAAAGGGGGGGCAGGGATGCCTGGATACAGCACAATATTATTATTATTATTATTATTATTATTATTATTATTATTATTATTTGAGATTATATACCACCCTCTACCCAGGGGTCTCAGGGCAGTTCACAGAATAAAATCAAGACATAAAACCACAAAATACCTAATAAAAATAAAACAACAACCCAATAGCTCCCCCCCAAAAAAAACCACATTTTAAAATGGCATAGGATGTAAATCAGATCAACCCAAGGCCTGGTTGAAAAGGAATGTTTTCGCCTGGCGCCTAAAGGTGTATAATGAAGGCGTCAGGCAATCTTCCCTGGGGAGAGCATTCCACAGATGGGGAGCCACTGCAGAGAAGGCCCTGTTCTCGTATTGCTAGCCTCCGAACCACTCGTACCTTTAGAGCATGAACCTGTGCCTTGGAAGTACAGGGCAAAATATAAGAGCATATGAGCCCTTATTAGAAGATTATGTTTGAAGGGAGAAATGTAACATGCTATTAGCCCATGTTATTTTAAAGAGAAATTTCATCAAAAGGCACATCCTGTTCACTGTATTTTTCACTAGCACTCAAAACAGATACATCATTTGAGCCGTGCTCCTAATCTAACCAAAAGAAACACATTAAATGAAATCAGATATTTCAAGTTACATTTTTAAAAGAGTTGTGGCAGGTATCATGGGAAAGGAATGGTCAGGTAAGTAGACAAAACATCCCAAAGTGTGGAAAAATTATTGTTTTCAAAAGAAAAAAAGAAAAAGGATGCGAATTGGGATGTTTGTGGGCTGGGAAACAGGTCTTGCTAGAAAGCAGTGTAACAACATAGGCTCCACTGAAGCCAAATAAGCAAATGAAAGTAATACATATTAAATGAATTCACTGTGAAGCCTAAAATGCAGAGAGGGGGTGAAAGAGAGAGAAGCCTTTGATATGAAAAGGAGAGAAAGAAAGAAAAAAAGTACGTCTGAACAATATGACAGTGTGGTTCAGTTGAAAGGAAAGAACTGGATTGGTTCAACTGACTTTAGCAAGCTCATCCTATCTGACTTTTCTCTAATTTCTCAGATTTCTTTTCACTTGTCAGACGAGTCTACTCTGGATATATTTATTGGGGAAAGCAAGTTACCACTCACCTAATCACATACAGTATCTTATTTATTGCCTTTGTAATCCCACCCTTTCTCCACTTGGCTCAGGGCAGCATACATCAGGGGTGGGGAACCTTCAAATTTGGCCAATATCCTTAAACCATTCCCACCTGTTTCACCTTTGAAGTCACAGGCGACATCAGGCATGGGGCAGGTGTAGATGTGGCTGTTGGTGCACATCTGGGAGTCTTATAGTGCATTCCCAGTTTTTGGACTGGCTGCGCAAGTAAGTGTCACATTCAGTCTTAGGATCGACTGTGATTTTGACATTTTCTTTTTAAAAAACTGTTTTTAGTTGCTGCTGTTTTTTTACTGTTTTATTACTATTGCACCTGCTGCCCTGGGCTCCTTTGAAAGGGCAGGAGATAAGTCAAATAACTAAAAAAAAGTATAAATCAAACAGTGGCTCTCAGGAATATGAATCTGGTTGTGAAAGACATATATATCTACTATTTGCTCTGAGGGACTTCTGGTAGTTCCGTCACTGAGAGACATGGGGAACCAGGCAGAGGGCCTTCTCGGTAGTGGCACCCATTCTGTGGAACACCCTCCCATCAGATGTCAAGGAGATGAGCAACTATTTGACTGTTAGTAGACATCTGAAGGCAGCCCTCTTTGTGATGGTTGATGCTTTATTGTGTTTTTAGTATTTTGTTGGGAGCAGGCCAGAGTGGCTGGGGCAACCCGATCATATGGGCAGTATATTGTTGTTGTACATATTGCTCTATGGGTTGTATTCAACGTAGTCCTACTAAGAGTACAGCCATAATAATAATAATAATTTATTATTTGTACCCCGTCCATCTGGCTGGGTTTCCCCAGCCACTCTGGGCAGCTTCCAACAAAGATTAAAAATACATTAAAATGTCACACATTGAAAACTTTCCTGAACAGGGCTGCCTTCAGATGTCTTCTAAATGTCAGGTAGTTGTTTATCTCTTTGACATCTGGTTGGAGGGCGTTCCACAGGACGGGCGACACTAACGAGAAGGCCCTCTGCCTGGTTCCCTGTAACCTCACTTCTCGCAGCGAGGGAACCACCAGAAGGCCCTCAGTGCTGGACCTCAGTGTCTGGGCTGGGTTTTGGGGGTGGAGACGCTCCTTCAGGCATACAGGACCAAGGCCATTTAGGGCTTTAAAGGTCAGCACCAACACTTTGAATTGTGCTCGGAAACGTACCTAAGTACATCATGCCCATTAATGTCAGTGGGTCTACTCTGAGTAGTGCTTGCATTGACCATCACCCTATGCATATACCCAAATGATACTGCCGTAAAACAATGCCTGCAAGCCAGTGTGTCGTATTATTTGCATAAGACAGCAATCCCAAAGGGAAGCGTTGCATGTTTCTAAGCCAAGCGTACTGAAGTAACATGACCGCAGTATGAACCTCACTGAGTGTGGGATGTAGAACAATAAGAGGGGGATTTAGAAACTTGTTCAAAGCCAAGGAGGGCATTGAGGGATACACAATGTCAGCTGCTTAGCTCAGAGGGAAACACAGTGACAGGTGATGCCAAGAAAACAGAATGACTCTGTGTCAGCTGTGCCTTCACCTTTGCGAATGAGGTTCGCTGCAATGTTTCAACCAGCAATATTGACAGGAACGGAGGCAAAGGGACTCAAATGTGCATAAAACAGAACAAGACTTAAAATACTTGGGCAATCTCAATGAATTCAATCAAACAACTGCCGGTGACCTTCGTTCTCTTCCAGTAAACTGGGAAATTTAGAAAGAGACTTGATTTTTAAGAAGCCAGATTGAGAGTAGAATTTAATATCTCAGGTGGACGGCTAGAGGAGGGGGAAACAAGTAACAGAGTAGTGCAGGTCTGGAATGTGTGTAGGGTTTTTGGGGGGGGCGGTGTTCTAAGCAACAGATAGCTCAGTAGAACATGAGACTCTTAATCTCAGGGACATGGGTTTGAGTCCCATGTTGGGCAAAAGATTCCTGCATTACAGGGTGTTGGACTAGATGACCCTCATGTTCCTTTCCAAGTCTACAATTCTTTGATTCCATGTCACGTGCCAGAACACCGGGGTAACTGATGGACACCCCTTACATTGCCAAGGGGATGAGGAGTGATAACGAAGCTTTCAAGTTTGTGACAAATTTGTACAAAGGAAGTCAAAGAATGGGAAAAATGATCCAGCAAAGGTTGGTAACTTTCCCCATTTTTTCTTTCATGGGAGTGCTTACTTCACCTCAGTGCTCAATGCAACGCTTCTTTGCAAGGCTATTTGCATTTTGAATTAAAAGCCAAGCTCTTCCAATCCAGGAATGGTCATAGTTGTCAAAGCAACTGCAGATGGAAACGGGTGCTTCTAGCGAGTGAGACTACTTGACCCTCCAAAACTGGGTCTAGAAGCACCCTCAAACTGCAAACCTCCTCCTTCACGGGGAATGCAACTCCATCCAGGGTAGGCAATTGACCAGTTTCTCAGACACGGGAGGTACTCGCCCACAGTGTCTCCATCTTGCCAGGATTCTGGCTCAGCTCATTTTTCTCCATCCATCTCACAACCAAGCCCTGCATGGCCTCTTCTGATTCAGATGTTATGGACCGCCTAGGAGTTGGGGGCACTGTTTGTGCCATGGTTCCACTCCTTCCTCCTGGGCCATGTCCAGAATGTGGTTTGGGGGATGAGTGTATGGACGCCTGGGTTGTTCTTCAGCCTGGACTCTAAGGTCCAGCTTCAAGGGCCTTCTGGTGGTTCCTTCCTTGCAAGAAGTAAAGTTACAGGAAACCAGGCAGAAGGCCTTCTTGGTAGTGGCACCCTGTGGAACACCCTCCTCTCAGATGTCAAAGAGATAAACATTTCTACGACTTACCATAAACATCTGAAGGCAGCTCCCCTGGACTCAGGAACGGGCACAACCCTCTTTCAGGGGTTGATCAAACCAAGTTGAGTCCCTAGATTCCATTAACGGAATACCCTTCACATAGGGATGGCGAGACCGTTTTCCATCCCTATCATATGAACCAGTGCCTATCCGCAACCTTACAAGTTGTGATGAATTGTTACGTGGCAGGCGAAACCCAAATGGCACCAGCCAATCAGCCAAGTGGGGGAAATCCCTGCCATGCCCCTGTCCCAATGACAGACGCCACACAATGGCATAGCAAGGTCAATCGCAAAATGCCCTAAAATTAGGGAGAGGTGGGCGGGTGTTCCGATGCACGAGCCGAAAGAGGAAGCTCTGGGACACATGCATGGGTTTATATAGGTCCCTCGATCCATTTAGACTGCACCCCGTTGGCCAGATGAAACCCAGCAACGAGGGACCTACCAATTGGGTGTTGTGGCTGTCCAATAGACCCACCCACAACCAGGAGATCAGTCTCCAGGTCTCACCGCAACATGTGCCCTCTTTTAGGGAGGACACAATTTGTTCTTATGAAATAGAGCTGAGTGTCATTAGCTAATGGCCCATTTATGCTTCTCATAAGTGGTTCAATGCATCACATCTTGGAGCTGCCTGACATCATAAACATATATGCTGCATGCAACATACATCCTTTCACTGACCTACAGTCCTTGTATGCCTGTTAAAGGCAAGTTATGTGCATTTAGCCAACACAGAGAGTGGAAATAAATGTCACCATTGACATCGTCAGCCTGGAGCTACAGCCTGATGTTGATTTTTAAGATAGATACACTGAAAATATTCACAAACCCCAACAGACACAATATTTTTTAGAACTATTAGCAAAAATCAGGCTGCATTATTCTGAAGTATGCCTTAAAACAACAGAGAAAATGTGCTATTTATTCCGAGTACCTCTCTCCAAAAGCCCACAGCATGTAATTCTGAATACTGATTATGATGAATTTTTCCATCTACAAAAATAAATATTTTAGACATGTATTTGGGAAGGTATTCATTCTTGATCATCCACAAAATACATTGTTCCAGAAACCTTTTTATGTGCAAGTGTATGAATTGAGATGCACACAATTACATTCCATTACTTTACATTTCCCCAGTCTGTTGTTGTCTGTGCAGTTTTAGCACTGCTAGAGACATGATGAAAAGGCTTCAGTTCAGTTAAAGTTAATTCACGGCTATCAGTGAGATCTGACGCAATTTTATTCAGAAGTCCCATTGACTGAATGGGACTCACTCTCGCAAAAGTGTGCATGGAAATAAACAAGTTATTTACAATTAACCTGCTCTGTTGGCCTCTAATGAAACTACAGTTGCAATGCTTTGCGAGCAAGGGTGAGAAATATAGCAATAGCAACAACAACAACAACAACCTTGTACAAACCTGAGAATAAGTCCCACTGAACTCAATAGGGATTACATTTGAGTAAACATGCAAAGGATTGTGCTGTTAGCTGTAACAAAATTTAGCCAGATTGGGGTCAAATTCAAACACCTAGCAAATATATTACAGGATGGATTTTTAAGGCCTTACCGTTGAACAAACAATAAGGCCATCTCCCTGGTTTTTCATTAAAGCTGCTAGAACTCATTGTTCAACACCAATGCAGAACTGCATGCTGTAATGTAAATTACAAGTTCATTTACCGAGGAGAAAGAAACAGTGAATTTATCAAAGGCACTGTCACGGCATTCAGGAAATGGTGCTGAATTTTGTCACATCTTCCTTTATAAAACAAAAGACGATGATAAAATAAAGGGATGGGGGAGGAGGAAGAGGAAGAGAGTGGCATGGACTTTTTTTTAGATATGAACCTGCTAAGGAGACCCTACTTCAACAGATTCATGTAACAAAAATAGAATCTTATAATTGGAAGGTGCCCCAAAAGTCACTTAGTCTGACCCCCTCTGCCCCTGTCATTGTTAGGCCTCTGCTTCACATCCTCTGATGAAAGAGAGTCTATCACCTTACGAGGCAGCCTCTTCACTGTTGAACAATTACTAGCAGCAAAGAAATTCTTCCTAATGTTTGGTCTAAATTCTTTTTCTTGTCATTGGGACCTGATTGTCATTTGATTGGCAGAATCTGCAAGGGCCATTTTCAGCTGGGAGCTACATCAGGTGTTAAATATAACCCCTTCTGGACTGAATTAGGCCCACAGTTTACAACCCAGAAGTACTTCTTTAAAAATAAAAAAATAAAAATAAAATGGCTCAATTTCCACATAACAAATTATCAAACCATATAATCACCTACATAATTTTTTACCTTTCCCCCCTCCCCCCCCAGGACTTCCCTCAGCTCCTCTCCCTGATTTCGCTGCACGTATTTTCTCTGCATATTATAAAATTGTATATATCCTTGCATATCTGTCCATCATGTTATCAACAATAAATTTGTGTATGTTTATTCAAAACCTGCCATGGAGTCCAGTTCATTTTGTTGTGTTTTTAAATAATTTGTGTAAAGTTCCCATTCCTCCTTGAAGTCACATTTGTCCTTGTCTCACAATTTGTATGTCAATTTGGCCAGTTCTGCATAGTTCATCAATTTCTCTTGCCGCTGTTCTTTTGTCGGGGTTTCCTCATTCTTCCATCCTTGTGCTATCAAGACTCTTGCCGCTGTTGTGGCATACATAAATAAGTTCTTTATTTTCCTTGGCAGGTCTTGTCCTACAATCCCTAACAAAATGCTTCTGGTTTTTTTACATTTTTTAAAAAACCCATGAGTACTTCTTAATAGAATCATAGAATCATAGAGTTGGAAGAGACCACAAGGGCCATTGAGTCCAACCCCCTGCCAAGCAGGAAACACCATCAGAGCACTCCTGACATATGGTTGTCAAGCCTCTGCTTAAAGACCTCCAAAGAAGGAGACTCCACCACACTCCTTGGCAGCAAATTCCACTGTCGAACAGCTCTTACTGTCAGAAAGTTCTTCCTAATGTTTAGGTGGAATCTTCTTTCTTGTAGTTTGGATCCATTGCTTCTCTGGAGCAGCAGAAAACAACCTTTCTCCCTCCTCTATGTGACAGCCTTTTATATATTTGAACATGGCTATCATATCACCCCTTAACCTCCTCTTCTGCAGGCTAAACATGCCCAGCTCCCTTAGCCGTTCCTCATAAGGCATCGTTTCCAGGCCTTTGACCATTTTGGTTGCCCTATACCATGCGATCCCTCTCATACCTAGTGTTATGTACTGAAGTTCTCACCCTGGGACAGCAGGGGGATACTGTAGATAGTTACGCAAATAAGGGATCGAAAGTGACGTTCAGTGATTGGATAGTTTTAGAAAGTTGTTACAGTAACATTGTACTGGAGCTCTATATAAGCAGGCTGACTGAACCCTTCAGTTCAGTTCTGTTCTGGCCTGTGAATAAACAAGAGCTGTTTGAAGAATTGCTGTGTCATCTGATATGTTCACCCACAACTTAACACCTAGCGTCCTCGCAGATTGGTGAGGGATAATAATAATAATAATAATAATAATAATAATTTCTTATTTGTACCCCACCCATCTGGCTGGGATTCCCCAGCCACTCTGGGCAGCTTCCACAAAGACCAAAAATACACAGAGAAGGAAGCATTTTCTACCAGTGTGGTGTAGTGGTTAAGAGCGGTAGTCTCGTAATCTGGGGAACCGGGTTCGCGTCTCCGCTCCTCCACATGCAGCTGCTGGGTGACCTTGGGCCAGTCACACTTCTCTGAAGTCTCTCAGCCTCACTCACCTCACAGAGTGTTTGTTGTGGGGGAGGAAGGGAAAGGAGATTGTTAGCCGCTTTGAGACTCCTGAAGGGGAGTGAAAGGCGGGATATCAAATCCAAACTCTTCTTCTTCTACCAGTTTATGGCATGCCATTCATTCTGACACAACATTTCAATAAGTGTCCCAGCTGGTGAAACTGGACTTCCAAGCCAGTGGAAAATGTTGTGGCACCCCTCGTTATATTCTCAACACAATCACTTAATATGTATGCACTATTCCCATGACCTGATTTATAGGGCCATAGTTGTGGAAACCTGTGGGGCTCCCAGAATTTTTGCTCTACAC